TTCATTTATATTTAAAACTTATTTTATGTATGAATTCGAATTCCGACCCACACGAAATTTCTTTTTTTGGCACAACGCAATCACAACGTGATTAAATACTTGGTTGTTCATTTCGAAAGACTCGTGAAATTGTTTGGTTCGGTGTTCCAACGAAAAATGTTCAATCGCCCTGGGTCAGCTGGCTGGCATAGCCACCCATATCTGTCAGTAGTGACTATTAAAGCTTGTTCTTTCTAGCTTACTTAGGAGGGTAGAGAGAAGAGAGAGGAAAGCAGACTGGAAGAATGTAGACAGTGTGCAAAATAGTAGAGTCAAATTTTTTTTTGGTTGAACAAGAGGTGAGTATCAAAGTGTGAGAGCCGTAGAGGTTAACAAAAGAGTCACACAGAATGAAATAAGCTTGAATGTCAGTAGAATTGTGTATTGGATCCAGAGAACCGAGTGATTAAAGTGCCTCTGACACGATTTTTTTTTTTATGCGTAAATACTTAGGTTATGATTTGTACAAACCTATTACGATAGAAGAAAAATTTAAGTGCTGTGGACCGGTAACGAATTAGTGGGTTGACACCAAAAATCTCTCATATCTCTCGTAATTTTGTATCGGTCAGCGTTGAAATACTCTTTAAATGATGTCCAATAGCGATGTATACTTACCTTCAACAAACTCCATTGAGAGTTGTGATACATCGTACTCAAGTAGTATTATAACATAGCTAGTAATTTGTCTAATCAAATTCAATTACGTGAGCGTGTTTCATATTCACGCTACTGTGCACGCTCATGACGTCAGCAAACAAATTCCTAAAGAAAAAAAAATTCCGCGATTTTTCACTTCAAACAAAATTGAAACCATCGGGTTGAAAATGTTATGAAACAATTGGTTCATACGTCAGCTGTGCGTTTATCGAGATATGAAGATGATACGAAGATGATGTGAAGATGATATGAAGATGATATGAAGATGATATGAAGATGATATGAAGATGATACGAAGATGATATGAAGATGGTATGAAGATGCCTGAAGATGCCTGAAGTTCCTCGAAGCGTAGCCTCGAGCAACTCTTACGCATCTTTCGTGCTCTCTAAACTTCCTAAGTGCTTCATATCTCAATGAACGCACAGCTGACGTGTGAACCAATGGTTAAGAGAAGAAATGGAAGTTGCGAGAACGGTTCATTCCTACGAAGGAGAACCGCGTGCATCAAACGAAGATGTCGACGAAGACTGACAAGACGGTGTTTCGCCTGTAGCGTTCAGGTCAAGATTTGAGCAAGAAATTCCACAGCCTTTTATTCCTTCGCACTATGTGCGGCGAAGTTTCCCCTCGGTCATTGCTCTAGAGTTTCGTTGGTGTAGAGAAATTCCTTTAGTGACCAAAAGCTAACTTTTGACGAAAGAATCAGATGTATCGTGAGGCACCATAAATTTTCACCGAGAGGTTATCATTCAATTCAGCGTCAGCCGTGACTGACCCATAATAATGCTTAAAGCTTGCTTCCCGTTTTCGTAATGGATCTGAAATTCGTTATCTCAATACCCAAGATTGTTCAACCCCTGAGGAAACCGTACGGAAAGGTTTTCTCCAATAAAACTGACCGTGCAAGATTATTCTTAAAACGAAACGGAGTTAAAATGATTAAGGAAAAAAAAACTTCCTATGCACATATACAAAGAATCATTGGCTCTAATGCCAGCCGATTGTTAAACAACAGCACGGAATACTGTGACAACTTTTTGACAGTATATGTTCCCGTTTTTAAATCCCTACTTACGAGAATATTCTCACCCCAAAATCCTGAAGGACCTGCGACCCCATTCTTTTAACTCTATTGGTAAATGCAACCTCATTATAGTCAATCCTGTTGTGAAAATGCGATCCAATCCAGCGGAAAAGCCTGATTAGCCTCTCCCCACGAATTACTTACCCCCCGCCCCACGGGCGTGCGCACCGTAAGAAATGATATTGGCGGGGTCTTGTCAAGCACAGCTTCTGCACAATGATGTACTTAAAATTTCTAAACTTTTTATTTATCTCCTCGTTGCTTAGTCGCCACGTAATCTTAGCCCTGGAAATCAAGCACTACCACGGAACAAACATCATTGTTCATCGGAACAAACTTAATTTGGGAGTCCCAGTCTGTTCATGTTCTTTGGAAAGGCTGTAACAATAACAGCTAAAGTTCCTCATATAGCAATTAGAAAATGCAATTCAGATAAGTTTTTTTTTCGAAAACTTTGCAGAATTAAAGTTCTTTAAATTTTTGTTTTGCTTTTTTTTCTTTCTTTGGGTGGCATTGAGAGGCATTCTACAATAGTATATATCCTGTTACACCTCACTGGGCGGATATTGCGAAAGATCAGAAATAAGATAGACAATCGGAAACTCGGACGCCGACGGTTAAGACAAAAATGTCTGCATACCCGCCTCAGTGACTCATAATGAAAAAATTAAACATAGTGTGCGCGCTCTCGTTGGCCGATAGGTGAGTTGTAATTGAGACGCCATGCTTTCTTCATTTGTCGTATCATATTTGAGTCGTGAAAGAAAAGACAGGAAACTGTCAACAACCAAGTGCGTAAGGGCACTCGCAGAGAGTCCGTGAGAGAAAACAAAAAAATAGAGAAAACAAAAACAAAGCAAAAAACAAATCACAAGGATTAAAATTGAACGTTTTCATTTACATCACTATTGTGCAATAGCATCACATTTCGACATTCCTATCCTAGCAGCAAAGAGGAGGTTTGTCGCCATGGACCTAATTAAACAACTCAGCCTGTTACTAGTTTTCAGAAAATCGGAAGTATTTTTCGGAAGGTCATAGGTTCGACTCGGAGTTCTTTTTCCATTAATGCCTGTGTCAATCAATGAAGAACATCATCTTAAAAAATACAAAAACAAAAAAAAAACCAAATTGCCTGAAGCTTGAGAAACCGCAGATAACCTTCTCGGCATCTATGAGTCGAGTCTTATAACTAACGCATGTGTATTTTACTATTAGCAAGCATTTTCGCCGAGAACTTGCCTCCGAGGCTATCGAGCGAGGTAGGCTGATGGCAAAATGTCAGATCTTATTATTCGCAAATCTTATTATGCGTCATCTAAATCTTTTTTTTTCTAATTTCACATTCATTGAGTTCATCTCACTTAACTTTATCCCACTCTATCCTCTCCATCCCACTCTTGCCTAAGCTAATCTTGATATTATTCGCGCGTTAAGGACTCGAAATCGTAATGACGGAAGATTGGAGTTGCTCACGGTCCACTTTCTAATGCTCGATAGATTCTTTTAGTGTAGTGATAGCCGTGTATCCCCTTTACCGGCGTTTTACTCTCAAGATCTTATCAGAAATTCTCCTTACTGGCTGCCATTCAAGCATTATGGTGTTATTTTGGGGAATTTTTTTATTGATCCTGCTATAAATAACTCCCTTATTTATGTTTCTCGATATTCTCAACACTTGTCTGCTCGATATTGTGTTGATGCTGCGAGAAGAAGTTCTGCCTTGAAGCGACTTGAAGGTGGCAGCAACCCGTTTACGTAATGGATCATAACTTCAAGGACTTTATTCTGGCAGCATTTCAACCTGCAAAGGCGATCCGACCGATAGGTTAAATCCAATAAACATGACAATTAAGATTTATCGAAGATTACTTAGACTGTCTCAATTTCTCTCAATACGAAAGAGGCTAGTCCATAAAAAAGCGAAAACGTAGTGTTTCTGCGCATTTATAAACAAAACTATCGGCTTTGCATTTTAGAGATTTTAAATTGAGAGGGAAACGAATAAAAACATTACCTTAGTGTCTCGGACTTTTCCTTCACAGACTGATAGCTAAGTAGCTTAATGATCAGTCGCCATGCAGTTTCATCAGATGTTAGAACAGTGCACAGACAATTAAGGGTCAAACTACATTCGTTTCCTGGCCATACCACGACCGAAATCAAATGATAATCCTTCTTTATCCAGGGTTTCACTGATAATTCGTAGGGATTACAAATAGCGTTTTTCGTTCGTATCTATCCAAGTTTGGGAGACATATGTTTCTTCTTTTGTAATGTTTTGTTTTTGTTTGGTTTTATTTGTATCATCAAGATATGCAATATAAAGTACTTGTGAAGTTGTTTACTAATTTGTGATAAAATTAGGTTCCCAACTTACAACTCCATACCTTTAAAGTCTTAAATGCTTGTCAATCGTGCGTAAGAAGCTTCACTGGCAAATATGGAAATGAATAACCATTGTAAGCTTAGAAATTCTCGAGTATAATAGGTTTGCAACCTGTTGGGTAACCATGGCAACACTTTCGTAAATGCATAAATAATGAACAACAGTCTTTATTTCTCCACGCGTTAAAACTCACATGTCTTAAGTTACATATTTTGATTTAATCTTAAATCGTTTTATTGATAGCTCTAAGAAGATGAAGCTTTAAAAATCATCATAAAACACAAAAACTGAAAAATTAAGTAAAAACATAAAATATTATGAGCTCCAGCCGGTAGCTTAGAACGTTCCATAGGTATGAATCTTTCTGAATTAATCACGATGCGATGAAAATATTCTTTTCTAAAATCGCAGTTGATCAACTATATACGGTTAAGTTTATGATTTCGTCATTTCTTCTAATCTGTATATTCTAAGCATTTTAAAATCTAGAATTAAATGGCTTTGAAAAAAATACACGTCGTATATCTTGTCATGGAAATTACTTCTTAACGTTTCAAAATAGCATCGATTGGTCCGGATAAATTTCTTTGTCGGATATTAGAAAACTGAATTCACAGATATTTTGGTTTAATTTCGACAGCAAGCGAACTGATCTTTTTAATCATAGCGTTTTCAAATCAACAATGAATAGTAGGTAAAAAAGGATCAACATCACCATGCATGCAAAGGCCACTCGATCATTAATCTGCCAACCACAATTGTATTAAAAGCGAATTTGACCGTTCTGAAGACGCAGAAATCACTATTTATATGAACACTTTACCGTCAGAAAGTTTTAAAAAAATCCGCTGGTCTAATTTTCATTTCAGTTGATGTGGGGTTGCTGCCCTCGGGCCTTTTTTGATCTAATTTATCCCAATGGATATTGGCCAAGGTTTTATTTCCACAATGCGGATAAATTCCGTTGAGATTCGACCAAACAGCACAATAGCTACTGCTGTCATACCACCAACCTCCGCCTCTTTTTAGAGTACAATTAGCAGCATCTCTATCCCAGGTACCAAAAATGAAATCTTTGTGAGGATTGAGGGCATCAGAGGAAACAGTTGCATCTGCTTAGGAAAAAAAGAAAATTCCATAATATTAGGATCATGATAACACTTTTGACACCTCAAACTCGATAACTACTATTATCGAAATACAAAAATATCGGGCAAAATTATGAATACTAAAATTTTATGATTTTGCTAAAGCCGAGTTCAATGACTCTTCTATTTCAAGCAATCTCGAGAGCAAACTGGCCACGGTGGAGCGTGAACTCAACTAGGTATAGGCAAGATGAACAGCAAAACACAGTCAAGCGGGTATACGCTAAAACAAACCATTATTTGCAGGTTACGTGAAGTTGGGGGAAGGGATTGAATTAAAAATCAGTTTTCATTAGGATTCAAGTTTTCACTGACTTGTATTTTCAATTTACTAACTTTGAAGCGGACAAACAACAGTTTAAGAAACCTCTCTGAAGAAGCCAATAACCTAACCCTAAGCAAAACCCCTTAAGCTTTGGTATGAATGGGGCAGTAGACGTCGATAAGGAAGTAATACATAAAGATCGAACGATGAATGTGTAAAAGACTGTTTACTTACTTGTCATATTGCCAATGTACAGCCGATAGTCAGCCGTCCTGTTTCCAATTCCAAACCATTCATACTCAGCGTGAACAGTTTGGCGCGTAGTCACCCCAGATCTACTCGAAGCATGTTCTTTGTCTTATTTTGTGTCAGACGGTTTATCTTGTCCAGTCCGAGCCAAAATTCACCGACCAAGTTACCGAAGCCATGCTTGTAGTCATTCCAGGTGCGATTAAAATCAACGGAGCCATCCATTCTCTTCTGGAAGACTGTCCATCCCCCACCGGAAGTAGTGTGGTCACAATAGACATTAAAGGCACCTGAGCCATCTGGGTCGATTGTGTAAACACCGCTGATCCTTTGACCGGAATGGTAGAGCTCAGCACAGTTCTTAGCTGTCGATAAAGTACAAGGGAATAACAGTTGATATTCTCTTGAAAAATAACAATAAAAATTGAAATGAAAAAAAATAATAGTAAAGGTAGTAACACACATAAACGAAGAGGAAGTGTGCTTACGTCTCGCCAATGTTTTGTTCTCCATGAGAATTTTAATCTCAAATCGAACTTGGGTGACTTCCTTCATTATTTCTTCCAAACAGACAGCAGTGTTCTTTTGGCAATCTATCGGGAATGCCCGTGTTGATGGTAGAATTTGATAAGTCACAGAAAGTGCCAGAAAAACCAGAGCAGATCCTGAAAGAAAGAAATCTTATCAGGTGGTGTGAGTTCACTACCCAGGGCCAATCCAGGATTGGCAAGGGGTGTCGGATTAATATCTGCCGATGAGGTATCGGCATCGTACAATTTGTGCGGAAATCACATCATGTCCCTTCCCTAACCAAAAACAACGACTTACGGTCTGCACTCTTTTTCATACTTAGCTAGCAAAATATGGAACTCTCTCCCAGACACTTACAAAACATTAAATTTTCTAGAATTCAAGCAGGAGATCCTCAGATATGAAGCTTTTCCACAGTAGATATACAAGTTATATTCCCTCTGCATGCGCAATGTTGTTTATTGTTTATAAATAATATTGGAATTGTAAGATAGCATATTTTTATTTTATTTTAGCTTATTTTCTCGAAGATATTAGCTGTACAGCTACACTGTGAATTTCGAGCGTCAATAAAGTATATGTATGTATGTAGGAATCCTTTTGCTGTTGCTTCTTACTTCCTGAAATTATCACTTGAAATTCGCTCGGTAATATATTAAAAAACAACAACAACAACAACAACAACGCGAGTAATACATGTATATATAAATTCTTTCATCACATAAAAAAGTTGTAGGGCATGATAGTATCTTAGGGACGGATCGTTAGATTTTTGAAAAACATCGTGCAATTGGCAAAAGTCCCTTCGCCCCCCCTCCTGCATCAAAAATGTAATGGTCTGTTTACATGCGAGACAATTTAGCTGGTAAAAACAAGTATTTACGTCCTTTTTTGTATTTTTCTATGCTTCCCTCGCTCCTAAAGAGGATTCGTACAGATATGAGTGTCGTACCGCGTTTACATTATACAGGTACAAAAGGTTGTCCGGAATAAGTGTTTCCTTCTGGAATTAAAATCTCAGTAAACTCATTCAGAAATGACTCGTTTTGAATAATTTTACTCTGGTCTCATGCGGTAACCAGGACGAACTCGTTCTTGAACAAAACTTATTCCGATATCATGTAAAAGGCCCCTAAGACTTTTTATTCAAATAGCTTCAGGCAGAATACTGTGAATTCCAATATCGCTGAAGCAACAACCCGTTTTTAACTGCTACGCTGCCACTGAAACATCGATTAGTGACCACTAAAAGCACATATTCAGATATTGTCAATTCAACATAACCAAAAAGTCTACAAACAGGATAAATATTCATTTGTGTTGGTAGTAATTATATTAATTATTGCGTGACTAGCTTATAATATAAATGAGGTAGGGAAGACACAACGTAAAACCTGGGCTCCTGGCAAAAGTAATAACCAAGGGTAGTATAACAATCGAAATAGCTTATCATAAAAAAAAAAAAAAAACAAGGTAAGAGTGTTATGTGAGATTTACGCAAATAAACGGTGGCGACTAGTAGACGCACCATGTATATTTCATAGTCGCTAGCAGTTAAATTTTTCCGGACTTTGAGTCTGTCTCACGATGGAACAACACAAATACACAAAGAAACTTTTTACAGTAACTTTATAACCATCCTTTTGTCTTTTAAAAGCTAGAAGCTCAGTAGATTCTGTCACGTCGGTCATTGTTAAGACTGTCTTTGTTTTGACGCTACTTTTCGACATAGAGGAAGTATGTCGGACAGAAATATTTACCAAAAAATGCATGTTTCATTGCCAGCTTCAATAATGACAGGGACTTAGGGACTTAAGTTTAGATGATAAAACAAAGGATTATGTTGACAGAAATAACGGAGGTTAAGTAAATTCGTTACATGAGGTCACCCAACTCGGGTAATATTCAAGGTGAAAATTTGCATATTTTAGCGGTCGAAGGAAAACAATCATTTCTCGAAAACTAAAATATATTTTACAAAAAACTACACCACAATTATTCGGACATATTGGGTTACAAAATATGAAGGTAGGAGTGTAAGAAAATTTTGGGTGACTTGCCGTTGCACGTTTGTCTCATGTATGTTGACATTAGCTCTTAAGAGATTAAGAGGTTGCACGTCACTGTTTTGACGTCATCTCCGATCTTTCGCAAGACTTGACTAAAAATTTCACGTAACAAATAGTAAGTCATTTGGGAAAATTTGCCAATTTTTATTTTGTCTTTAGCCATCATAATTCCTCCGAGCCCGAGGAAAAAATAAAAAGAGAGAAGAACTTTATCGCTTTGCCTGCCCTGATAAACGTGAGCTGGATGATATCGTCGAGGGAACTCAGGTGAACTGTCTCAAGTTTGCGGAACCTTTTTTATTCTTCTCCTTTAACTCTTCTAGAATTAGGTTGCGGCTATGTAAACAGTGATGAAATTCTTTATTGCCTAATTGTCCAGAAAAAGGCCTTATATGTTTCACGATCTCAGAAGCTTTTCTTTGTAAAATTATCCACCGGCAATCGTGTCGAGAAGAATATCCATCCATTCAAGCTAAGAAATGGAAAGTGTTCTGCTATGTACGAATAACGCATGCATCTTCCGCTGTATGACTAAAACTTGATTTAGTTGCGCACGTGCCCCTCTCCAATTTCACCATAATGAACTACTAGGTTATTATCCGGTGATGTGAAAACACAGTCACTGCGGGTGATTGCTTAACGAATTCAGTTAGGTTGCTGAATACGAAATTAAAAGTAACAGATGATTTATAATAGGTCATTTGTCTTGACCTTGGCGCCATAAAACTGATAGGGTTTCTACGATGTCTTCCGTTGAATTGTTCTTAAGGAAAACTTACACCTCGGCTTTTTTATTTTTATCTATGATATACGACATGGCATAATCGTGTAATGGTGCAGAGGAGTATAAAATGAATTTAATTGCGATGATAGTCAGAACACAGTGACATCATCAGTCAATCATCAATTAACGCGATCGATTGGTGGATATACCGAACAATTTTTGAGGTCGGATATTTCCATATCCGACATAAAGATATATCAAGTTCTCGTCGCAAGTAGTTTTATAAAAGAGCTAGTAAACACGTGTAATCAAATTTAAATGCGCGAGCATGCGTTATAATCCTATTTTGCACGTTTCTAACGTTAGCCATCAAATGCCTTTTCCATTTTCCTCCGCGACTTATTGCAAAGTTCTCGTCCAGCTTAGTTGCGAATTTTTAGCTTTCCGAGATGCATTTTCCTTTCCATACTGATTAAGAAATACCTTTATGAACTCTAAATGATAAATATATTTATGGAAGAAAATGTACAATTTAAGAAAGTGCATCCTCATACAATCCGCCATGAATTACAACTTAAGAAGCCGATATGTATTTCCTCTTAAAAGCATGGCCTAACGATTTTCTAAAGAAATTTCCCATGCAGTATGGTCAAAGTTTACGGCTGAACTAAACAAGCTAAGGGGCAACACAAAGCAGTTGTTTGAAAAAGCCTGAATTGTACTCAAGCGCATGCGAATTCAACAGCAGTCCTTTCAGAGTTAAAACAATAAATAAATGAATAAAAATAAAAAGGAATCTGGTTCATTTCACAAATCGCAAACGTGTTGTCGTTTTTAACAGTGAGAGCTTTCGCTCTGAATTCGAAGTCGTGTCACATTTATCCTTACTTACTGAATGAACTCTCATGGGATGTGAGAGCGAATTGAGATGTTTGGTTAAGTTGTTACTGGCAGCTGACTTTTACCTTCAAAACTTCAGCTTAACAAAGGGGTTAATTTCATTGAACAATGTGAGTTCAACTTTATTTTGAGAGGGAAACATTTGTATGATGGAAACTCGTCTATTGCTTTTAGAATAAATTAAAATAACTCGGGAATTGGTTTAAAACATAGATTACAATCGATTGCTTCAACAATGGTACTCGAAGGTTTTCCGTAGGGTAAACTAAAATGGACTGAAGTACGTGTAGCAAGTATTAGTTCAAGAAACATAAAGATGAGAAAGAAATCTTCACGAACAGTAGTAGGTTTGGATTTAGTGTCGGTTTTGTCAATCGAGTCTGTGTTGTGTGAAAACAGGTTTTTTGCCTTCACAAATAAACGGACAGACGGGAATGGAGATGTCCCTCATTTTCCGCCTACGCATTGTGCATTTAAGTTCTTGCTGGTAACTCAGACTTCAATCCAACGACTTTCTATGCCTCGTTTGACCAGTTGTAAACACATGATGCAGCGAATCTTTCCACTCTTGTTGATTCTCTTAAAAAGCGTCCTTCTGGGTGGTATTTTAGAAAACGTATAGACAAAGGCTTTAGTTTGTCAGCGTGTTACCCGATGCATGAGATTTTCACCCTGAGAAAGAGCAACCTGGACTTATCGTTTCTTCTGTAGTTAATTTCACTTAGAGACTCGTGTTTTTTAAAGACAGATCAACGGCAATACTAATTT